GTGGATCTTCTCGCTGCCGGAGGCCAAGTGGCAGTTGACAAAGCCAAAGGAGGTCCCGTTGAAGAGGAAGGAGACACCCACAGCTCCTTTGTTCCCTGCAGGGATGTACCAGGCACTGAGTTCTGGGGGAGAACTGAGGCCCTGGCATGGCCCCTGGCTGCCCCCTCACTCTGGGGCCTCCCCCCACCCTATCCCCATCCCTACCCAGCGTGTTGGCAATCCCGGTTTTCACGCTGGAGGTGTGGACATGGCTGATGCGCCGCTCATGCTCGGGCTTCACCAGCACCACGATCTTGATGCTCCAGAGGCATTGCAGGGCGACCTGGAGGGGGGGCAGAAGGTGAGCTGCCCTGTTCCCCCCCACATCACCCCACAGCTGAGCACGGTGGGGATGGAGAAGCAGCAAGGAGAGCCAACCCATCCCTGAAAGGTGGCTCCAGGGGAGGGAATTCCCTGCATGAGGTTGACCGGGTCTAGGAGGTTCCCTGGGTGCACTTGGGGTGGGAGAGGACCCTGGGTCTGGGGGTAAGAGCCCTGGGGTGATAGCTGTTGGAAGCCAGCTCCTGAGACTGTCAGGGGATGACTTTAGCCTACTCAGCACCGGGTGCCCCCACAGGCACAGCCAGAGGGGTCCAGACTGCACCCCGCCGTTACCACGCGGTAGTCAATGGCCATCAGGGTCTTCAGAGATGCGCGGAGGAACTCGACCCACTCGCGGTCACCCAGGGAATTCTCCTGGGTGCCGACAACGTAGATGTCATGAGGGATGCAGGCAGTGGTCTCATCCTGCGTGCGCCCCAAGCCCCTCGAGGTCAGCCAGGAGGCGAGGGAGCGGGGTGGTGGCGTGCTGCCTGTGAGCAGGGGACAGCATGTCACTGGGACAGCACAGGGCCAATTCCACCCTCCTTGAGCCCCTCTCCACCCCCAGAACCTGCACATCTCCAGGAGCTGTGGGGATGGGAAGCATCATGCCAGCCCCATGGTCCATCGTGTGCATCCCAGGACGGTGTTGGGATTTATTGGACCACCCAAAACCTGCCCAGTACCCCAGCTCCTCCATTTCCCCTACAGCCACCAGGCAAGTGGATCATGATGAGACAGACAAACCTGAAAGTGGCCTGGCTGGGGTCTTCTCCAGCCTCCTGCTCCCACCGAGGACCAGCTTGGACCTCAGTTTTTTTGGGGCAGCTTCCTCACCTCCCAAAACCCACCCAGGCTCACAACAAGCCATGACAGCGTCCCAGCACAACATGACCTTATCGTGGCCCCTTACCCATGTTCCATGTCCCAACATACACCGAGATGAGATCAGGCTCATCCAGGTTGGAGTGCTGGATCTTCATCAGCTGCAGCAGCTGGCAAAAGGCCTCTCGCTTCTACGGGACAATACGGGTGCTTTAGGGAGCCCAAAGGGTGCTGGCAGCTGGGCTGGGGGTATATCACCCCCAGGAGCTGGCTCACAGGGGTGGTCTGAATGCTGGGACCACTATTTGCTGCATCCTTACATAACGAATCAGTATTTCCCCAGGACAGCCAGTGAGCACGGCCGGTGCCGCTTACCCGCGCGCTGGAGAAGACGAAGTCTCTGCTCTGGCTCCTCTGAGGCTCCCGGTTGTACACCAGCCTCACCTTGCTCTGCTCACTCTGGTACTTGATCAGCTGCAGGACTGAATGTGGGGGCATGAGGGGGGCAATGGTGGTACCCACCTCCCACCACAGGAGCCAGCAGGCAGCGTGGGATGGGGGCTCAGGGTGTGACTGGGACTGCAGCCCATCACCCTTGCATCAGACCTGTGCCAGGGAATCCCCTGGCCCCACAGCACCCCTTCAGCAGCCGCAGGGGATCAGCAGCCCCTTACTTTTGTCCTGCGGGATGGTTTCCTCTGGGGACCCGCTGCCCCTCTTGCTGATGGCCACTGTGCCTGACTCCACATCCACGGTCAGGGCTGCCCGCTGCGACCTGCCCACCTTCACCTGCAGACAGGACACAGGTCCTGGGTTGGACCCGCTCCTGCCCTGCCTGAGCAGCGATGCCAGGGACCCACCATGCCCCCCGCCCTCACCTCAAATCTCTGCACGGCCAGGGGCTTGGCTGTCTGCGGGGGGGCCGCTGCCACGCTGGGCAGTGCCAGGTTGTGCCTCGACACTGTCTCCTGCAGCGACTTCAGCACCTGCCAGAGAGATGGGCGACTGGGCTAACTGGGAGACCTGGGCACCCTGTGCCAGCCCATCCTGCCCAAGGGGCATCCTGGGGCTGTGCCGCTGCCACCAGCTTGCTTTGCTCGAGGGGT